TATGCACCAGTGCTGCAAAAACGCTAGTCTAAGCTGATTATCGCATGATTATAGCATGAAAGTAATATGAAGAACTTAAAAAAGAATGCAAGAATAGAACGAACTATGTAATGCAAGATGTAGAAATATTGCTGGTACAGGAAAAATAAGTGCGAGAGAGTTAAGACGTTTCGGTCCATGAAGTCATATACGTCTTAGCTCAACACCGTGACTGGAGCTAAAAGTAACTCCAAGTAGCAGTGTTACAACTCTGTTCCTAATTTTTGTTTAAACTCTCCCCTCCCCCCATCCCCTGTCCTTCCGGGACCCATCTGTGCCTCGACCAGGCAATATGCAGTGATTTTTGAGTTCGAGCTACGAAATCATGGTACCGGGTTTTTTATCCAGTTGAGGTTCTAGGTGTCACGTTCATGACTGCTAACTTCCTCTCAGCAACAACTTTCAAGTTGAGCATAAAATACCTACAGGCTCCCCCCCCCCTCTCCCTTTCCCCTCACTGATTCCACACTTGTTTCTAATTCTTACCTTCAAGGTCCTTCATCAGAAAATGATCAGTGATTTCAAATACGGTATTTTTGCTTAGTAACATCTGGATATTTTGCAGAGCAGTGCACTATTAGCACTTTTTGGATGTTGCCACTCCTAGACCACGATGAGGTATTTTTTGCCGGCCAGGAGCCTCATTTGCCACTTTATATTTTTCAGTGTACTCGCTTTACTAACTCCTCGTTTAATGCTAAAACAAAACAGCAAGTCCTTAAAGATATTAAGTGTCGTAGAAATTTTAAAGATACAAACAATGAATATCCATGGCTAGAAGATTGGAAGAGGACGGGGGCCTGAAATCGCATCTATGTGTTAACATATGCAGTTTGTTTGGCGTTGCTGACTCACCAGCGTGGAGAAGAACACAATCGAATTTTGAAAATTAATAAAAAAACACTGGAAGTAGTGCCCATTTAGATCTCCCAAATAAGTAAGCTCACTGGTGAGAAGCCATACAACTGCATAAAATGTGATAAGAGGTTCGGAAAATTGGAAAATTTACGGGTGCATTGTAAAATTGATACTGGCTGGTTAAAAGCCGTTCAAATGTGGTCACTGCAATTCGAACTTTGGCCATTTATTAGCCGCCTGTCTGTGAAAATTCCCCCTCCCCCCTTGAGCTTAATTTCTCCGGTCTTTTGCCGGGCTCGAAACATGGTCTCAACTCCGATTCGAAACATAGCACACCAGTGCCATTGGTGGATCCGGGGGAAGAAAGGGAGGGGGGGCCTTTCGCTCCCAGGAGCTTAGGTAGCAATTGTTTTACTGTACAAAAGTCTGTTCGGTACTCCCTGTCTCCCCCCTCCCCACCTCCCGGGGCCTGGTCAGCTTCAGTTTAGTGTTCATCGGAACGGGGAGGGGGGAAATCGCCACCACCCCGCCCACTCCCTCACCGGGGAGACCGCCCTGGACCCACCTATGACCACTACAGCAACACTTCCGAGAATTACCGTATCCGTGGGACGGATAATTTGCATACGTTATTGTTGCTGCAAATTTCTGGAATTCAAAAAATTTTTCGCCCCCCATCAGGCTTTGTTTTTCTGTTTGGACCTTCACGGTATTCTTTGGGCGGGGCTTCCATAGGTACTCGTACTTTAAGACGTCTGAACCATGTTGCGCTCAGTCTGTTTGTTTACAGCTAAGGGATGAAACAACTGTAGGCTGATCCGGGACGGATTGCTGGAAG